GCGTGGAGGAGTTCCTGCTGAAGGTCTACGGTGAGTTCGGGGATGGTCCCAGAGCTCCAGGAGAACTTTGAGATGTCCTGGGAATTGTCCCAGAGCTCCAGGAGAACTTTGTGACATCCTGGGGATGGTCCCAGAGCTCCTGGGGGTTGTCCCAGAGCTCCAGGAGAACTTTGTGATGTCCTGGGAATGGTCCCAGAGCTCCAGGAGGGTGTTGAGATGTCCTGGGGGTAGTCCTGGAGCTCCAGGAGAACTTTGAGATGTCCTGGGGATGGTCCCAGAGCTCCAGGAGAACTTTGTGATGTCCTGGGGATGGTCCCAGAGCTCCAGGAGAACTTTGTGATGTCCTGGGGATGGTCCCAGAGCTCCTGGAGAACTTTGAGATGTCCTGGGAATGGTCCCAGAGCTCCTGGGAATTGTCCCAGAGCTCCAGGAGAACTTTGTGACATCCTGGGGATGGTCCCAGAGCTCCTGGGGGTTGTCCCAGAGCTCCAGGAGGATGTTGAGATGTCCTGGGAATTGTCCCAGAGCGCCAGGAGAACTTTGTGACATCCTGAGGATGGTCCCAGAGCTCCAGGGGAACTTTTTGACCTCCTGGGGATGGTCCCAGAGCTCCAGGAGGGTGTTGAGATGTCCTGGGGATGGTCCCAGAGCTCCAGGAGAACTTTGTGACATCCTGGGGATGGTCCCAGAGCTCCAGGAGAACTTTGTGACGTCCTGGGAATTGTCCCAGAGCTCCAGGAGGGTGTTGAGATGTCCTGGGAATTGTCCCAGAGCTCCATGAGGGCATTGAGATCTCGTGGGGGTTGTCCCAGAGCTCCTGGGGATGGTCCCAGAGCTCCAGGGGGCTGTCCCAGAGCTCCAGGAGGACTTTGTGACATCCAGGGGGTTGTCCCAGAGCTCCTGGGGGTTGTCCCAGAGCTCCTGGGGGTTGTCCCAGAGCTCCAGGGGGCTGTCCCAGAGCTCCTGGGGGTTGTCCCAGAGCTCCATGAGGACTCTGTGACCTCCTGAGCTCTCCCACAGACCTGGTCCCCAAGCCCCACGTGACGGCCACCACCACCGGTGACCGCGGTCAGTGCAAGGTCACCCTGAGGTGCTCCGTGGACCTCCAGGGGGTCACCTACGAGTGGATCCCACCCCAGAGGGTCCTGGTGGAGGACGGCCCCGTCCTGAACGTCTCCTTCAACCCCGAGGTGGAAACCTTCACCTGCAAGGTCAGCAACGCCGTGTCCTCCAACAACGCCTCGCTGACCTTCCGGCACCCCTGCAGCTGGACAGGTACGGACACGGCCGGACACGGCCAAACACGGCCGGACACGGCTGGACACAGCTGGACACGGCCGGACATGGCTGGACATGGACAGACATGGTCAGACATGGTCAGACACGGCTGGACACAGCCGGACACGGCCGGACATGGCTGGACATGGTCAGACATGGTCAGACATGGCCGGACACGGCTGGACACAGCTGGACATAGCTGGACACGGCTGGACATGGCTGGACATGGCTGGACACGGCCGGACATGGCTGGACATGGTCAGATATGGTCAGACATGGCCGGACACGGCTGGACACAGCTGGACATGGCTAGACATGGTCAGACATGGCCAGGCATGGTCAGACATGGCTGGACACGGCCGGACATGGCTGGACACAGCTGGACATAGCTGGACATGGCTGGACATGGCTGGACACGGCCGGACACAGCTGGACATGGCCAGGCATGGTCAGACATGGCTGGACACGGCGGCTGGAAACGGCTGGACACAGCTGGACATGGCCAGGCATGGTCAGACATGGTCAGACATGGCCGGACACGGCTGGACACAGCTGGACATAGCTGGACACGGCCGGACACGGCTGGACACGGCCACACACGGCTGGACATGGCCGGACAGAGCTGGACACGGCTCCGGACACGGCTCCGGGGGGTTTTTAGCTCCCGGTGAATTTTTAGCTACAAATAAGGCAAAAACGAGAGCTGGAGAGGCGTTTCCTGCCCTTTGTTTCCTGTTCTGCAGCAAATTCAGACCCAAATCGGGGGCGGAGGGGACGAACTCGGCCTCCTCCGGATCTGGGGGTGAGGGGGAAAAATTCGGAGCCAAAAATAAGGGAGAAATGACAAAATTCAGCCCAAAAATCAGGGGAGAAATGGCAAAACTCAGAGCCAAAAATCAGGGGAGAAATGACAAAATTCAGAGCCAAAAATCAGGGGAGAAATGACAAAATTCAGAGCCAAAAATCAGAGGAAAAAGTGATAAAAATCGGTCCCAAAATTAGGGGAAAAAGTGATAAAATTCAAACCCAAAATTAGGGAAAAAAGTGATAAAATTCAAACCCAAAATTTATCCTGATTTTGGGCTCCACCCCAAAATTTGGCTCCTGTGGGGTCGGAGCCTCCCTGAACCCCCAAAGTTGATCCCAGAGAGGCTCAGGAAATCCCCAAACCCCAAAAATGAACCCATGGGGGGCATCAGGGGGTCCCTAAACCCCAAAATTCCATCTGGGAGAGGTTCCAGAATGATCCCAATTCCCTGGGAGCAGATCCCGATTCCTGGGAGCCGATCCCGATTCCTGGGGTGGATCCCGATTCCTGGGGTGGATCCCAAATCCCTGGGAGCCGATCCCGATTCCTGGGGAGCAGATCCCGATTCCCGGGGAGCCGATCCCGATTCCTGGGGAGCAGATCCCGATTCCCTGGGAGCCGATCCCGATTCCTGGGGTGGATCCCGATTCCCTGGGAGCCGATCCCGATTCCTGGGGTGGATCCCAATTCCCTGGGAGCCGATCCCAATTCCCTGGGGTGGATCCCAATTCCCTGGGAGCCGATCCCAATTCCCGGGGAGCCGATCCCAATTCCCTGGGAGCAGATCCCGATTCCCTGGGAGCCGATCCCGATTCCCTGGGAGCCGATCCCGATTCCCGGGGAGCCGATCCCGATTCCCGGGGTGGATCCCGATTCCCTGGGAGCTGATCCCGATTCCCGGGGAGCCGATCCCGATTCCCGGGGTGGATCCCAGGGGTGACGGGATCCCTTTTCCTCTCCGGGGAGGGATTTGGGATCATCCCACACCCCCTGGATCTCCCTGTGCTTCCAGATGGATCCTCATCCCTCACCTGCGCCATGCCCAGCCTGGGAAACCTCCTCCTCTTCCTCCTCCTCCTCTTCCTCCTGCCTTGAGGACACCGAGGAGAAGATCCCCAAAAAATCCTCCGGGGTCGCCGGCATCGTTCGATTCCTGCTGAATTCGGAAATCCTCATACCAAAATCCACGCCCAGACCCCGCTCCGAGCCTTTCCCGGCTTTTCCCGGAATTCTGGGGGATCCTCCTTGGGTTTTCGGGGGGCGGCGCCTTCGGTTTTCCCCGCGAGGGAGGGTTTGGGGTTCGGCCTCTGCTTTCCCGATGTTTGTTTGAACATTAAATTCCATCCTGAAAAACACATTTTTATTTCCCCCCTGGATTTTTCTGTCTTTCCCTGGATTTTCCCTGGATTTTCCCTGAACTTTTCCTGAATTTTTCCTGAAATTTTCCTGAATTTTCCCTGATTTTTTTCCCAGATTTTTTCTCGAATTTTTTCCCAATTTTTTCTCGAATTTTTCCTGAACTTTTCATGAACTGTTCCTGATTTTTTCCTGAATTTTCCTGATTTTTTCCCAGATTTTCCCCGAATTTTTCCCAATTTTTTCCTGAATTTTCCCCAAATTTTCCCTGATTTTTTCCCAGATTTTTTCTCAAATTTTTCCCAAATTTCCTCCAAATTTTTCCTGAATTTTCCCCTAATTCTCCCTGAATTTTTCCTTCACTTTTCCTGATTTTTTTCCTGAATTTTTCCTACACTTTTCCTGAATTTTTTCTGAAATTTTCCTGGGGTTTTCATGGATTTCCCCGGGTTTTTCCGGATTTTTCCCTGGGCTGGGGCCTCCCACAGCTCAGGGATCGGGGAGGGGGGATAAGACGGAAAAACCTCCGAGATGTTCCCCCCTTTTTTTGGGGATAAAATTCCCTCCTTCGTCTTCCAGGGGAGAATCCGGCTCCGGAGGGTGGGACAGCCGGGAAGAAACCTTGGGAATGATGGAAAACCCTGGAAAAGTTTGGGATGCTTCCAGCTCCACCAACCCAACCCCCCAAAAAACCCCAAACCCCAAACACCCCAAAACCAACTTTTCCACCCCAAAATCATTCCAGGATTCCCATTCCAGAAGTTTCCAGGAGGAACCGCTGCTGGTTTCTCCTGGATTAATTCATCCCGCTCTTCCCCATCCGTATTTTTTTTCCCGGAAAAATCTGATTTTTGAGAAATGACGGTTTTGGGGTTTTTTTTTTTTTTAATCTCATCAGGTGTTTTCTGAGAAGGAAGGAGGAGCTTCGCAAGATTTTCCGGGTGGGGCTTTTTTTGGGTGGTTTTGGGTTTTGTTTTTTTTTTGCAGTTCAAAAATCATTTCCCGGCAGCGCAAACCTGATGGAAAACTCCGAGCTTGGAAAACAGCGGGAATGTGAATCCTGGGATTCCCTGGGCTTGGATTTGGGGTAAAATCCCGGGATTTTTCCATCCCTGGAGGTGCCCAAGGAAGGAGAAGATGGGAATCGGTCAAAACGTGGATCCTGGAGCTCTTCTCCAGCCTCAGAAATCCTGGAATTCCAGCTCCAAGCCCTGAAAATCGGGAAAATCGGGAATTTGGAGAAAGGAAAAGGCAAAAAAAAACCCCTCGGATTTCAAAGCTTCTCCACTAAAACCCGTCAAGATTTTCCAGCAGCAGATCCACAAACGGATTTTTCCCTGTCTTCCCACCAGGAAAAACCTTCCCCATCCCCAAATTCACCCAAATCCACCCAAATTCACCCAAATTCACCCAAATCCACCCAAATCCACCCAAATTCACCCAGAACGAGGATTTGGCTTCTCCCAGGTGAGTTTTTGGGGACCTCCCATCCTTTTCCTCCTCGCTGCTGATCCGAGCTGGGATATTCCCGGGAAATTTGGGGTTTTCCCAACTTTTTTAGGGGGAGACGAAGCAGCTTTCGGGATCGCTTTGGAATTTCCACCTCCCTGAGAGCTGGAAAAATCCAGGAATTTTTTTTCCCCCCTGGACCAACCCAAGGACCCTCAAGGTGACGAGGAAATCCCACCGGGAAAACCAAAATCCGCTTCCCTCCCTCCGCGGCTTTCTGGGGGCGCGAACCCCTGGCGCTTTGAATAATCTCCGCCCCGGAGAGAATTAGAAAAAAAAAAAAAGCCAAGATTTGACTCATTTGGCCCCAAAACCCGAAACGAAGCAGGAAATGAGAGGCCCGGGGGTGAAGATTTTACCGTCACCGCCTGCTCCGAGCCCCCGAGCGGCTCCGTGACCCCGGGATGGGCTCCGGCGTTTGGTTCCGGCTGCTCCTCGCCCTCGGAGCTCTTTGGGGTGCGTTGGTTTTTTTCCCTCCCGAATTTTTTTTGGGGTGGTTTTTTCGTGGATTTTGGGGGCGGATCTGAAGGGTTTTAGGGTTTTTTTGGGGGGGTGGGGTGTGAGGAGAATCCCGAAAACGCTCCCGAGAGGGAGGAGGGGACTGGAAAACCATGGAAGGAATTCCGCTGGAAAAGCGAAGGGTTTGGGCGAACCTCTGAGAGCTCTGAGGGGTTAATTCCGTGCCGGAGGGATCTGGGAATTCCAAAGATATTCCAGGGGAAGATTCCCGCTGGATTGGCTCAAATCCCCGGGCCGGGAGGCGCTTCCCAAGGAATAAAACCATGGAATGCTTTGGCCTGGGAGTTCCCTGAGGACGGGCGGCTTCCGACCCTTCGCCGTGGGACAACTTCCATGAAAATGGGGCCGATCCCTGTTTTTGGAGGGGTCTGGAGAGCCAAAATTCCTTCCAAAGAGAATCCTTTGGATTTGGGGTCTTTCCTTGGGATTTGGGGGCTTTCCTTTGGGATTTGGGGGCTTTCCTTTGGGATTTGGGGGCTTTTCTTTGGATTTGGGGGCTTTCCTTTGGATTTGGGGGCTTTCCTTTGGATCTGGGGCCCCTCCCCTGGATCTGGGATCCCTCCCCCGGATTTGGGATCTCTCCCCCAGATCTGGGACCTCTTCCTTGGATCTGGGATCCCTCCCCTGGGTTTGGGATCTCTCCTTTGGATCTGGAAGTTTCTCCCTTGGATCTGGGATCTCTCCCTTGGATCTGGGGTCTCTCTCCTGGATCTGGAAGTTTCTCTCCTGGATCTGGGATCTCTCTCCTGGATCTGGGATCTCTCCCTTGGATCTGGGATCTCTCTCCTGGATCTGGAATCTCTCCCCTGGATTTAGGATCTCTCCCATGGATCTGGGATCTCTCCCCCAGATCTGGGATCTCTCCCTTGGATCTGGAAGTTTCTCTCCTGGATTTAGGATCTCTCTCCTGGATCTGGAAGTTTCTCTCCTGGATCTGGGATCTCTCTCCTGGATTTAGGATCTCTCTCCTGGATCTGGAAGTTTCTCTCCTGGATCTGGGATCTCTCCCTTGGATCTGGGATCTCTCTCCTGGATCTGGGATCTCTCCCTTGGATCTGGGATCTCTCTCCTGGATCTGGAATCTCTCCCCTGGATTTAGGATCTCTCCCATGGATCTGGGATCTCTCCCCCAGATCTGGGATCTCTCCCTTGGATCTGGAAGTTTCTCCCTTGGATCCCGTGGCTCACCGGGCTGGATCCGCCGTCCCGATCCCAGAGGATTCCTTTGGGATGGGGACGAGGGCGATCCCCGCCATCCCCAACCCTTCTCCCTCCCCTTTTCCCCAGGGATCCGAGCCCAGGAAACGGTGCTGGGGACCTTGGGAGAGGCGACCTTCCTGCGGATCCCCCGCCAGCTCCAGGAGCGCACCCAGGAGTTCGGGGAAGCCTCCTGGAAAAAACTGACGGAGGAGCTGCAGAGGAAGAAATTCCTGCTGAAGATTTCCGGCGAGAACTACACGGAGTTCGAGCCGGGCCGGGTGAGCTTCCACCGCCGGGATTTTTCCCTGGAAATCCTCAACACCAGCCGGGATGACCGCCGGCTCTACGAGTACAGCGTCACCAACGGGCAGGAGGAGGAGATCTGGCAGATCCAGCTGGAAGTGTTCGGTAAAAAAAATTCCATTGGGATTCACCGGGATGGACGATCCCCGTGGTTTTTGGTTTTTTTTCCAGGATGTTCCTGGTCTTTTCCTGGATGATTCCTGGGTGATTTTTGGGAGCTGGTCTTGGGAGAGGGGGTGGGAAATGCTTTGGTGTCCAAAAAAAATATCCAGGAATTTCCATTTCTGCCTTTTTCCCAGAGCTGGAGGCTGATCCAAACTTTTTGCTGGAATTTCCCGGCTTTTTGTTGGATTTTCCCAGCCTTTCCCTGGAATTTCCTGGATGATCCTGGATTTTTTAATATTTTTTTTTTTTTTTTTGCTGGGCGTCCTCAGCTTTTTGGGAGCAGCTCTGGGATGTGGAAAACTCCCCCAAATCCTGGAATTCCCATCCTTTCCCCCCAGAGCCGGTGGCCGATCCCAGCATCCGGATCCTCCGCCGGGAATTGTCCAACGGCAGCTGCTCCCTGGAGCTCCGCTGCACCTCGGAGAGGGGGGACGAGGTTTCCTACAGCTGGGAGAGCCGGGACAACGGCACCGGGGGGATCTGCTCCGGGAACGGCAGCTTCCTGAACCTCTCCTACTCCCTGCGGAACGCCGGCTTCGGGTGCGTCTGCACCGCCAGGAATCCCGTCAGCAGCCGGGACGCCGCCTTCGACCCTTCCCGGTGTGGCTTCGAGCAGCGGGGTAGGTCCTGGAATCCCGGAATTCTGGAGTGCCAAAATCCTGGAATTCTGGAAGCCCAGAACCCCGGAATCCTGGAGTCCCGGAAGTCCAGAACCTCGGGATCCTGGAGTTTCGGAACCCCCAAAATCCTGGAACCCCGGAATTTCAGAGCCTCGGAATCCTGGAATCCCGGAATTCCAGAACCCCAGAATCCTAGAATCCCAGAATCTTGGAACCCCAAAATCCTGGAATCCCAGAATTTCAGAACCTCAGAATTCCAGAACCCCAGAATTCCAGAACCCCAGAATTCCAGAACCCCAGAATTACGGAACCCCAGAATCCTGGAATCCCGGAAGTCCAGAACCTCAGGATCCTGGAATTTCAGAACCCCCAAAATCCTGGAACCCTGGAATTTCAGAGCCTCAGAATCCTGGAATCCCGGAATTCCAGGAGCCCAGAATCCCGGAATCCCAGAATCTTGGAACCCCAGAATCCTGGAATCCTGGAATTCCAGAACCCCAGAATTCCAGAACCCCAGAATTCCAGAACCCCAGAATTCCAGAACCCCAGAATCCTGGAATCCTGGAATTCCAGAATCCCAGAATCCTGGAATCCTGGAATTTCAGAACCCCAGAATCCTGGAATCCTGGAATTCCAGAACCCCAGAATTCCAGAACCCCAGAATCCTGGAATCCCAGAATCTTGGAACCCCAAAATCCTGGAATCCTGGAATTCCAGAACCCCAGAATCCCGGAATTCCAGAGCCCCGGAATCCCAGGATTGTGGGGTAGGAAGGGAGCTCTGACAGTCCCAGGGCTGTCAAGGCAGGGTGGGAATTTTGACCAATTTGGGTGGAAATTTGACCGATTTGGGTGGAAATTTGACAGATTTGGGTGAGAATTTGACGGATTTGGGTGAGAATTTGATGGATTTAGGTGAGAATTTGACAGATTTGGGTGGGAATTCGAACAATTTTGAGATATTTCTATGGATTAATGGGATCCCCCTTCAGATGAGAGGTTTTTATGGATATTGGAGATATTTCTATGGATATTCGAGAAGTTTCTGTCCCTCAGGCCCCCTTAAAGCCACCAGGGAGATTTTTAGGGGGTTTTTTGTGACCCCAAATCCAGCCCCCAGTGGGTTTTCAGCCCCCGGTGAGTTTTTAGCTGCAAATAAGGTAAAAAAGAGAGCTCAGAGAGGCGTTTCCTGCCCTTTGGTTTCCGCTTCTGCAGCAAATCAACCCCAAACCTGGTGACAGAGGTGACAGATTCCGCCTCCCCCAGATCTGGTGATGAAGCGGCAAAAATTAGACCCCGAAGCAGGTGACAGGTGACAAAATCAACCCCAAAATCAGCGGACGGGTGACAAAATCAGCCCCAAAATCAGGTGAAAGGTGATAAAAATCAGCCCCAAAATCAGGTGACAGGTGATAAAAATCAGCCCCAAAATCAAGTGACAAAGTGAGGGGAATCAGCCCCAAAATCAGTGGACAGGTGACAAAATCAGCTCCAAAATCAGGTGATAAAAATCACCCCCAAAATCAGGTGACAAAATCAGCCCCAAAATCAGGTGACAGGTGACAAAAATCAACCCCAAAATCAAGAGACAGGTGACAAAATCAGCCCCAAAATCGGGTGATAAAATCAGCCCCAAAATCAGGTGACAGGTGACAAAAATCAACCCCAAAATCAAGAGACAGGTGACAAAATTCAGCCCCAAAATCAGGTGACAGATGATACAAATCAGCCCCAAAATCAGGTGACAAAGTGAGGGGAATCAGCCCCAAAATCAGTGGACAGGTGATAAAAATCAGCCCCAAAATCAGGTGACAAAATTCAGCCCCAAAATCGGGTGACAGGTGACAAAAATCAGCCCCAAAATCAGGTGACAGGTGACAAAATTCAGCCCCAAAATCGGGTGACAAAGTGACAAAATTCAGGCCCAAAACCAGGTGACAAAATCAGGGGCCAGGTGACAAAAATCAACCCCAAAATCAGGTGACAAAATGACAAAATCAGGTGACCCAGGTGCCCGAAGGTGACCCGGGGCCACCTCCCGTGTGTCCCCTCTCTGTCCCAGATGTCCCCGGGCTGCGGCCGGAGCTCCTGGCGCCGCTGCTGGCGCTCGCTGCCGTCGTCATCGTCACCGTCACCGTTGTCACCTTCAGGGCCATCCGCCTGGCCAAACGTGAGTTCGGATTCCCAAAATCCCAAATTCCTGGGAAAGAATGCCGAGGTGGACGAGGTCAAGGCGTGACCGGTGGTCACTCGGTGTCTGGTGGTCACTCGGTGTCTGGTGGTCACTCAGTGTCCAGTGGTTACTCAATGTCCGCTGGTCACTCGGTGTCCGGTGGTCACTCGATGTCCACTGGTCACTCGGTGTCCGGTGGTCATTCGGTGTCCGGTGGTCACTTAGTGTCTGGTGGTCACTTAGTGTCTGGTGGTCACTCAATGTCTGGTGGTCACTCGGTGTCTGGTGGACACTCAGTGTCCAGTGGTTACTCAATGTCCACTGGTCACTCGGTGTCCGGTGGTCACTCGATGTCCGGTGGTCACTCAGTGTCCGCTGGTCACTCAGTGTCCACTGGTCACTTGGTGGTCACTCGGTGTCTGGTGGTCACTCAGTGTCCGCTGGTCACTCGGTGTCCGCTGGTCACTCGGTGTCCGGTGGTTCTCCAGGGGTGGCGGCTCCGAATGTCGTTTCTGATGTCCGGCCGCCTTTTCCGGGGGGAACAAATTCCTCCTGGAAGAGTTAAAACCCTTGGGAAAGAGGAAAATGTGATTTTTTTAATCCAAGTGTTAAAGGCAGGAGGGGGAAAATGGTTCAAAAAAACCCATTTTTAGGGAAAAAAAAAAAAAAAAGATTTAAAAACGTGGATGGAATTTCCCATGGATTCTTTTCCCATGGGATGGGTGTCCATGACCACCTCCCACGATCCCGATGGGAATTGGATCATCCCGACCCAAAAATGGGAGAGAGCAGCTCCTCTTC